TGATTATCTTAGCTGAAATGATTTTAACACCATCCAAACACAAAACTGATTTTTGAAAATTAACTTCTTGGCATGTATTGACTGCCTCAGCTACAATTAAAATTACAGGTAATTCAACAACAATACTTGACAAACCTACACAGGGCAGGATTTCTGGAAAAAAAAAATCCCATTCAAATATTCTTCAGAATGGCAAAGGGGAGAAAATAAAGCATACTGTATCCATTAAGGCCTCTGATATAAATCTGTACAGGTTGGAGCTTGCTAATCCGGGAAGCTTGGGACCAGACCGGTTCCGGATTAGTGAAAATTCCGAACCATTGAAGCCGAGGTTAAAAAAAAGGCAAAATATTGCATAATATGTACCATTACTGTCTAATTTCTTCAGTATAGACACCTTTTCTAAAATAGTTAATGTCACATGCTTACGCTTTGCCATATTACAACCACTTCCTCTTCTAGCTGGTCTCTCAGGAGGCATATTTAGGGGTAATTTATAAGTATTTACAGTAAAGGTAAAATAGTGGCAACAGCCACTAGAAATGAGCTCTGACACCGTCCCTGATTAGTGGGGTCCAAACCTGTACTGTACACCTATAAGAAGAAAAAACATGGTGGTGAAGATATCCATATCGGACAAATGTTAACACTTTCGGAGTCCCAAGGGGCGCAGGCCACCACCGCCGCCACCACCCAAGGTGGGAAGGGCGTGCTCAGCTGATGACAATTGCAGCGTACATGTTTGCATTTCTTTTTGTTTCTGACATCATATTCCATCATAATTCATTTTTTCAAATGTGTATTTCTTCACAAACGATTGCTCTATAATACTGTACTACTGTATTATACAAATGAAGTTGAATCTAACACAAACATGCAAAAATATGAGTGAATATCTTGGAGAAGCAGGCAGTGTCTGTGCGCTGTAAATCCTTAGGACACACTGATGCTTGCAGGCCCACACAGAGGTAATCCTGACACCCCTCATCCACCACAGTTGTGCGGCAAAAATGGGAAGACAATGGCGTGCATTTTGAGACTTGAACCATTCAAACCAAGCGATTAATAGATTTATGGCGAGGCTTTGAAGTCTATGATGATATTTATGACATCAGAATGGTAACAGGAGTTTTTTGGGACGATGAAATATTCGCCATTGGTCCGCCAGTGTCAAAACCTGTGCAGACTCTTATTTTGGTTGTCAAGTTTTTATTAATGCTGCAATACTGCAGCTATTCCTCTCACCCACAAAAACACAATCCTGACATTTCCACTCGTGAAAAGGCAATGAAATTCGAAGAAAAATTATGATTTGTTATACAGTATTGTTCATGTCCATGGGTACATTAAATAATCTTATCAACAGCCTTAAGTACAGTAAAATATAGAACAGTTTTCTTTACACCTCATGATTAGGTTTGACCTTATTTTAGCTACAGTATTTAAATTACCTGGTGCCTGGGTGAAAATTTCAAACAAAATTTTATCAAATGTTATTACTCGGGTAAAAGAACCTGATAAGAAAAGTGAGAAGGAAAATTTAAAAAGATATGGAGAAAGTCATCATCAAAGTTACACAGTTAATCCCCAAGAAGTTCTGGAAGTCTGTTAAAAAAATAAATAAATAAAACAAGTTGAGGACCAACACTCATTGTAATTTTATTAATTTTGGAGGAAGGATATGAACCTAAAATGGCAGAAATGGACCACAAAAAACCAGGTGTCTTGTCAAGGTTTCTTACCAAGCAAATTCAAGCCAGAACCAGATTTGGAAATATCAACACCACTGCAGAGAAACTTTAGGACACTGGTGTACAAATTCATAATTTCGGATAAAATCATAGAGAAACTTAAAAAGATCATGTACCAGATGTAAACATCCTAGATTGCAGAATGATGTACACAATGTTACAAGCAGTCGGGTGATGTGTCTTATGATCTTCATTAACCACAGTACTGTTACTATACAATATACAGCTCCTCCCTGACTTACAACGGGGTTAGGGACCCAAATCCAGGTCGTAAGTCGAAATGGCCGTAAGTCGGAAATGTTTAAATAATACATAGAAAATCTAAAATGGGTGTCTCTTTTTCTTCTCAGCACCACAAAACACTCACTTTTAAGCTTGCCAGCCATTTTAAAGTGAATTACAAACGAAAATTTTGTCTGTGTACTGACTTTGGGACTCGAAAATACGTAATTTTACCAAATTTTGGTACGACTGAGGGTCGTAAGTGCGGGTGGTCGTAAGACGAGTAGGTCGTAAGTCGGAGAGGAGCTGTATAGCTATACATAAAGGGCTGGGCATTAAATATGACCTCATGGATTTCATGAATGCCTTTAATAAGGTCCAACATCAGTACTGTATCAGCTTAGTAAGCAGACTACTTGTACCAGTATACTGTATATAAATGGACTCTAGTACTGTACCTGTATGAGTAAGCTACTATGTTGAGTGGCATCCCACAGGGTAGTGTATTAGGACTGACATTCCTTGTTACATACATCAATGATTTACCTGACAATCTCCAGAGATGGTCAGACACATAGTTATTCCTGTCTCATTCAGAATAATGCAAGGTGATAACAATTAAAAAACAAGAGAAAACCTATTGGGAATACAGTACTGTATCACATTAAAGGAATAAATGAGAAAGCTGAGTAAAAAAGACAAAAAGAGAAGAACGTGTGAATGATAGTAAACAGTAAACTGACTTTTGAAGAACATACATAGTTACTGAAAATTTCTGATGGTTATACCTGTACAAGGCCCTGGTGCAACCATATTACAGCATGCCAATGCAATATGATGTCTCTACAAAATGAAAGACATCCATATAATAATGAATGTTCAGAAAGTGGGCAACAAAACTGATACAGTATATACTGTACTGTACCTGAACTGAAAACTACAATTACAAAAATCATCAGAGGAAGCTGAAGAACCCATACCAACAAACCACAGTACAAGTGGGAATTAGATGAAGACCTTCAAAATGGTACATGGGATACCAAAAAGAACTACAGTATGCCCACCCCTGAGACCACACAAAACCATTACCAAAGATCATGTCTTAAGCTGCTAAGGACATATCCACACACCAATGAGGGAAAACTTCTCAGTTCACATTGTGGACACATTGAACAGCTTACCTGGACAGATGGTCACATTCCTAAACATTATGACCTTTCAAAAAAGACTGGCCATACTGGACAGGTCAGATGTCATACTGTTGTTGACTCACTAGTCCATCCACTATGGCAAGTAACCCGTACTGTCAAAAACAAGTGAAGAGCTGGATGTATAGGGGAGGAGACTTCATCTTGAACCTTACTTAACTAAGCAAATATATATTGTACAGTACTGATTTAGAAAGAGCTAATACTGCCATAATGAAAATACTGTATAAAGCTATACAGTACTGTTCCATGAACTTTTTATTTGTTGGGGGAGAGGGAATCATATTTTTTTCCTCCATATTTTGTACCGATATTTTAAGCATTATAGTTGGATCATACCGGGTATCTAATTTTGGTCCCACTTTGGTTTTTCTTACTCGTATTATGAACAAATGTTTTAGTTTGTGTCATGTAGCTACTGTAATTACAGTACAGTACTCTGTACCAAGAGAACACAAGAGTTATTGCTATCCATTACACCAAATTCTGATGGGTATCAGTTCTTTGTTAATACTATATTGTTTTTAAAGAAAAGAAGACATTAATCCAGGAATTCCAAACTGTACTGTATATACAGTATGCAGCAATATGCTCTGTGACAATCTTGCTCTGATAAGCAGCTATTCTTTTTTCAACTCATTAATTCAAATTAGACCAAAAGAATATTTTAACTATCGGTTTCTTTTTTTCAGTTTATAACAAGACAATCCTGATCTGAGTATACACACAAAGTTTATTTATATATATATATATATATATATATATATATATATATATATATATATATATATATATATATATATATATATATATATATATATATATATATATATATATATATATATATATATATACATATATATTACTCCTTCACCATCATGATGTACAATTTTACTTTCAACACCTAGAAGACAAGCTTACAATTACAAATAGGTCATAGCATTGGAATTACAAAATATTAAAAAAAATAAAGTATCATCCTGTTACCAATTTCAATAATCTGGTTCACCAAAGTACTACACACACACAGAGCATAAATGGTACAGTATATCTATGTTCCGTACATGATGTCATTTACACTCATAATTGTGCCTAAACTAAGTATGGTCAGGTTAACTGGGTAAGAAATAATGTTTCAGGGAAGCTATTATGATTAGCTAAACGATTCTCTCGTACAAGCCTGCTAAAATTAAAACAAATGCTTGTATACATATTCTACACAGCTATGTTTACAATGGTACTGTACAGTAAAAGTACAATACAGTATATATAATTATGGGACTGTTGTACTTTAACACATCTCACTCCAGGTCATTCCTTACAAAACTATTGGTAGTACAGTACTGTATCTAAACTGCACCTGTCTGATATTACAAAACTGCATCCTGTATTTAATGAGCTGTTTTAAAATTCAGATGTGGTCACAGGTCAGCTAGGTTACACTGTGACTGTTTTAAACACGGTGGCTCATTGTACAGATCCACACGAAGTGATTTCCCCCAGATAACCATACGAGCATTGGGGGTCACGACCACATCTAGTCGCATTTTCTCTCGCATTAGCCTAAACACGTCACACTGCTTCTCACCCAAGGTTAGGCTTCTCTAGAATCATCAAATTCTCGGCCATTTTGAGAGATGTGACAAAATTTTGATCTTAACCCCACAGGACCCGTACAGTACGCCTTGGGAAATTGCCAAATGGATATGTACTATAAGCCACGACTTATTTTAATATTACCACTACCATTCAACTATAATATTCATAACATACCGGGTATTTTTCTTTGGTTAGTGAGCGAAAGCCCATAACTGATACATCAATTTATCACACTTACCGGGAACTGAAGCAGATCGCGAGGGAAGCCATCATCCACACCAGTGATCTCGAACGAGGGCGGATGTGGAAAGGGTCCCTTCCCTGGGTAGCTCGTAGAACGTCGAAACTTGTTCATCACCATGGAGGAAGCGTTGGGTAGGTTGGAGCTTTTTCGTGGCACCGAGGACATCCCACCCAGATTGTGGCCGAGATTCATGCCACCCATGCCACCCCGGCCCCGTGTGGACCATGAGCTCATCCCGGGTAGCGATGGCGCCCCAGGTGCATTACCGGGCCCACCTCCTGGACCCCCAGCAGAGTTACCCTGGGGCGATGGCCCTGGAGACCATGCACTACCTTGTGAACCAAGCCCTGATGACCACGATGAAGAGTACTTGTTAGGCAGAAAGGGGGCTTGGGGTCCTGGAGCAGGCCCTAAAGATTGGGGTCGTGCCTGCCCGGGGAAGTTTGGTGCTGCTTGCTGCATGTTCCTACGCTGTTGGTGGTTTTGTGGTCCTGTTGGTCCTAGTCCTAGTTGTGGGCCAAGGTTGGCACTGAACAGTGGGGAAGGACCACCAGAGCCTGGCCCACCTGGGTTACTCGGCCCTAGACCATGGAATGCCAATGACCCGTTGATGGCTGGCATACCCGAGTGTAAGAGTGGGTCATCCACGGACGGAGGTGACCAAAGGGAAGCTACAGAGGAGGCCAGTGAGGCTGGTAGAGCTGTTTGCTCCACCAGGCCTCCCCCACCCCCTGGCCCTCCCACCACTCCTGACCCCGGCCCACCTCCACCAGCTGCAGCAGCTGCTGCTGCTGCTGCAGCGGCGGCTGCGGCGGCCGCAGCTGCCGTGGGTACTCCCCCTGAGCCTGGAGGACCTAGTACAGAAGGTCCCGGAGTGCTGCCTGACCCTAAAGGGCCAGGGACTGTGCAGGGCGCGTTGCTCCCCACCGGAGGACCTGTCGACTCCCCCTTTACACCTGTTTTGGTATCCTCGTCGTTATTTGTGTGTTGCTGTTGTTGCTGTTGCTGGTCGTCAGAACCGTCGACCCCGCCAGTGGCCATCCCCTGCGGCTTGACGCCTCCACCCTGCTCAACGAGGCAGTCATCTTGCATTTTGCTTGTGGAGTTGCTGCCCCCGTCTGTTGCACTGGAGTAGAACACGCTTGGAGTCGACGTGTTAATTACGTAAGTGTCCGTACTTATGGAACTTACGGACGAAGCGTTGTTGTATTTAAAATCCCCCATGTATGACTTTCTGTTTTCATGAACTAGTATATACACTCATGGGGGTTCAACGTTCACAGGAGCTATCTCACATCTGCCTCTCGTCCCCCACGAACGCAACTTCTCGAGTGAGGTTCCAATAATATCGAATATGCGCAGAAACTGCAGACGATGCTATTCCATAAGCGATAAAATTATCTGTAGACTCTGAAAATATTATGTAAACTCTGCTTATTTACATAAATAACATGGGTATATCTCATCAATATTTTTGTTACAGTTTGCCTACGTAGATTTGACAAAATTTTTGTTCACAAGAGCTTGCTTTTTGAGCGAAATCTAGAGGAATTCGTGATCGTAGCAGATTTATCGCTATTTGTGTCCCTTTAAGCCACTTTATTTCATCAATCTTGTCCTTTTATTTGTTAGATATTTTGTTTCACAGTATATAAGCATCAAATAGCTATATAGTTTCGTCTTATATGCTCAAAAACCATGAAAATCGATACCCAGCCGGGTTGATAGTCGATGCTCAGCTGTTGGGCTGGCCATCAGCTGACGAGCCACAACACTCCCACTTGGGGGGGGTTGGGGGGGGTCAAGGCTGAACAGGAGATCGACTAGTGATTAAATGCTCTTCATAAAAATGTAACTTTGATTTAATTTTGAGTCTAATTAGCATCGTTTGGTCCAAATCTTTATAAAGATTAAATTAGAATATAATCTTCTGAATGATAACTGTGAGATTTTAGCGAAATAATTCCCAGAAACTGACATCCATATTTTGGTAACTTTATGGACGGGTTCACGGGCGTAATTGATGCCAATATTAGGAAGAACTTCCATATTGTTTCGCCAAATTTACCAGAATGAATCATTTATGTAATGTATTCCATTAGTTGTAGAAGAACAAATGACAAAAATAATGACTACCATGAAGACTTTAAACCCTAAATATTCTAATAAAAATCGTAGGATATGTATTGATACACTTGTCAAGCTTGTCAAGAGTGTCAGAGGTGAATTTGTTTCGGCTAAATTCCTTTCTCAGAGGCCAGTCAACCCGACTTGCCTCGCACTTTCACATACGTCACATGACCGGTGGTGAGCCTATCATCACCGTCAGTGAAAATGTTTCATAATGTGATGTCAAAGTTTTGCTCACTAAACCATGCGTAAAGCAGTCACGGCTATCCTCACGGGCCACAAGTCATACTGAGCCCCAAGCCCAGTGGTGCATTAGTGATATCATCTGTGGCCGGTGTCGAAGTGTCGATATAAATTTACAGCACTGTATATATATATATATATATATATATATATATATATATATATATATATATATATATATATATATATATATATATATATATATATATGTGTGTGTGTGTGTGTGTGTGTAATAATAATAAGCGGTTTATTAATAGAGTTGCAGCCGGTGGCTGAAAATATACAAACTTACATTTGAATTAGACATAATGATATGCGTTCAATACATTTACAGGGCTGTACAGTACATAAATCAGGAGTTGTTTATTATTTTCACAATAGATGGGATGGTGCTGTTCTTATATCTATCGGTGCGGGCTCTTATGGGCTGAATTTTGTTGTAGTGGCGGACTGCGCGAGGTGCGTGGGGGGCGAAAAGGTAATAATAATAATAATAATTCATAATAAATAAAATTTATAATAAAAATAAAAATTAAAAAAATTGAATAAAATAATAATAACTAAAATAACAACAACAACACTGTAATAATAATATTAATAATAATAATAATAATAATAATAATAATAATAATAATAATAATAAAGAACCATAAAGAAATATACAAATTATAAAAAAGATAAAAAGTGAGAAACAATATACATATATGTTGTGTTGTCAATAGTAAGAAAAACAATTAAAACCCTGCAATTGAGTGTAAATGTGGCAGAAAGTCAAATCAGCAACCTGGGACTTGGTCACAATTTTTGTGATGCCATATGGCAGCAGGGTCTATCATTAGACAACACATTGTGCTTCCAATATCTTCCCAGACGGTATCTCATTTTTCTCTTTCTATACATTTCAATTATTCCTCTTGAAGTTTTTGCTAATCTTAGTACTTCTTTATTTGTTTTCATGTCACTAACTTTCCGCTGTCTACCCACGTTTTTTTAACCCACACATTCGTCCTTGCCATATGAAGCCTCCACTACTGTAGGTACTCACAAATTGACAACAATTATTTGCTATAATCTAACATCTCACAACCTGTTTGACTCACCGGAACGTATGGTAAGCTTATTAGTTCTAGTGTGTCTTGTTTGATTCTTTCAAATGCTGTGCTTATTTTTTTCATGTTTTAGTCAATAATTTTCTATGTAGTTTTCTCTTTCACAGTAAGCTTATGAGTTTTATATAAAAGCAATTTTGTATTGTTATATTTTATTGTTCCAATGATTTATGCATTTAATCATATTATTTCATATATTTTTTTACAATACTGTACTTAGCCATTACTATATCATTTCATTACATTCATCTATGTTACCTTTCTACTCCATATATACCGATAGTTTAATTAATGTTACAAAACATATCTTCTACCAGGTTAAAATTCTAACCAAAAAGGGTTCAACAGATAGATAGATAGATAGATAGATAATAGATAGAGGTATTCATTCAGTATAATCGTCATATAGTGCAGTGTTCACGTTGATTCAGCGGGTATATAGACAATGTAAGTAGAGGTATACAATGTACAACTCGTTCCAAAAAGTATCGTTGCGATTTTGTTTTAGACAATGTGACACAACGGACGAAGGATTTTGACTTTTGACAACCCTACCGAGACAACAGGAGTCACAGCGTATACAATATGCCTAGTTCTACAATAATAGAGAGTGTGGATACCCACACAAACAATGGTAAACAGTAAGGATATACAAACAACGGTAAACAGTTAGGTGATCTATTTCAGATAGAATTTAAAGGAACATTGAGTCTATAGTATTACAATAGGTCTGTAAGACAACTAAGTCTAATAGACATCGCCCTCATCTCGCAACATTTAAGCTGCCTGTATAAGTTTGACGTTAACAATATTCTTTAAGAAATTGAATGTGCAGTGATCCATCAGACACTACCATAGTTACAAGTTCCAAGAAGATGATTCAGTTAGTTTATGGGCAATCAAACTTTATCACACTGTCTTTTAAAATTTCGGAGAGATATGTGACGTTGAAAGAAAGGAGAAATGGAAACATGGAGAATGAAATGTGCATGAGACGTGGAATTGAAATGAGCAAGGAATGAATAAACATGAAGAAGGCAATGCACACGAGTGATGTGATGATGAACCAAACGAGGAATGAAAGCACAAGATGAAAGGTAAACAGTTCACAGGGACAGAGTCTAGTTACAGTGTATTGGTGCCTGGCTCAGAAGAAGTGAGTGGGGCGTCTCGTTTTATCTACGCGTGGCAGAGGATGATGGACTGAATTAAATCAGGGTATTAACCGTGGCTCTGGGCTATGTAGAAAGATCAGTTGCTGGATTAAGAACTCGGTATTTTGCAAGCGTAAAGTCAATGAGATATTTATATGTATATTTGTATCTATGGCATTTGTAAGGGTGAGGGTAGGTACTGGTGTGTGTAGTGGAGTAATGAAGCACTGGTGGTGTAGGGGAGTGGTGAAGTACTGAAGTATGTAGCGGAGAGTGAAGCACTGATGTGTGTAGTAATGTGGTGAAGCACTGGTGTTTGTAGTGGTGTGGTGAGGCTGAAGCACTTGTGTTTGTAGTGGTGTGGTGAGGCTGAATCACTTGTGTTTGTAGTAATGGGGTGAGGCTGAAGCACTGGTGTTTGTAATGGTGTGTGTGGTGAGGCTGAATCACTTGTGTTTGTAGTAATGGGGTGAGGCTGAAGCACTGGTGTTTGTAATGGTGTGTGTGGTGAGGCTGAAGCACTTGTGTCTGTAGTGGTGTGGTGAGGCTGAATCACTTGTGTTTGTAGTAATGGGGTGAGGCTGAAGCACTGGTGTTTGTAATGGTGTGTGTGGTGAGGCTGAATCACTTGTGTTTGTAGTAATGGGGTGAGGCTGAAGCACTGGTGTTTGTAATGGTGTGTGTGGTGAGGCTGAATCACTTGTGTTTGTAGTAATGGGGTGAGGCACTGACTGAATCACTTGTGTTTGTAGTAATGGGGTGAGGCTGAAGCACTGGTGTGTAATGGTGTGTGTGGTGAGGCTGAAGCACTTGTGTCTGTAGTGGTGTGGTGAGGCTGAATCACTTGTGTTTGTAATGGGGTGAGGCTGAAGCACTGGTGTTTGTAATGGTGTGTGTGGTGAGGCTGAATCACTTGTGTTTGTGTAATGGGGTGAGGCTGAAGCACTGGTGTTTGTAATGGTGTGTGTGGTGAGGCTGAATCACTTGTGTTTGTAGGCTAATGGTGTTTGTAATGGTGTGTGTGGTGAGGCTGAAGCACTGAAAATGGTGTGTGGTGAGGCTGAATTGTGTGTCTGAAGAACTGGTGTTAGTGTCTGAATACTGTGACTGAGGCTGTGGTGTGGTGAGGCTGAAGAACACTGTGTGTGAGGCTTGTGTCTGTAGTGGTGTGGTGAGGCTGAAGAACTGGTGTTAGTAGTAATGTGAGGCTGAAACACTGAAGCACTGGTGTTTGTAATGGTGTGTGTGGTGAGGCTGAAACACTTGTGTCTGTAGTGGTGTGGTGAGGCTGAAGAACTGGTGTTAGTAGTAATGGGGTGAGGCTGAAGAACTGGTGTTTGTAATGGGATGTGTGGTGAGGCTGAAGCACTTGTGTCTGTAGTGGTGTGGTGAGGCTGAAGAACTTGAGTTAGTAGTAATGGGGTGAGGCTGAAGAACTGGTGTTTGTAATGGTGTGTGTAAAATCTTGAGCATAATTCTACGAGTATACATTTTTCTGGTCGCCAGGCACAGTAGTAAGGGCTGTACCTCCCTAAAATTTCCCCACATCATTATTTAATCCAAATGAAGAGAAGCCCAGCGGCAGCAC